GGTTGGTGGCCAAAAAGAAAAAAGGGAATCAGAAAAAATGCTGAATTGGCAGCATCTTTAGCACAACATGTAGGTTCTGTGTAGCTTGACCCTTAGAGGATTTAAAAAAGATGACTAGGTGAATATATGGAAGCCACAGTGGTGCTTAGACATGCTGGTTATTGAACCTCCGTATTCAGAAATTATGCTCCATCGAATTTGAGTTAATGAAAGGCAAAAGGAGGATAGAGCTTTTTCCTTCACAAGTTGCTGATAGGTTTTGCAGTGGGATCTAAGTGGTCATTCTGGGAAGCAGGACACCAGATGTGGATGGAATTTTGGATTGGTATAGCACAGCTACTCTTGCTGTCTCTACCTTCAGGTCATTCACCTTAAGTATTTTGATTCAAACAATGTAAGCGGAAAGTTCATTGTTCCTTTCTATTATTGCATTGCATTCACGTCCTGCCTGTTTTCCTCTTGAAAGGAATCCAAGGTGGCTTACAAAGTCCTTTCCTATTCTGTTTTGTATTTACAACAGCAATCCTGTGAGGTGGGTTAGATTGAGAGTGAGTGACTGTTCCAAAGTTGCTAAGTGAGCTTCATGGCTGAGTGGGGCTTAGGACCTGCATCTCCCAGTCCCCATTCTAACATTCTAACCACCACACCACATAAACTGTAAGTTAAAACATTCTGAACCATATTAGTTGTAGCTCTAGTTTGTATTTCTTTCACAAAATAAGGGGTGTTAACATTTCTTAGAAATGTTAGAAACAGAACACAATCAATGGTAGAATCTGAAGTACAGTGGCAGCCTCAATTCCACAGGCTCTATACAACATACAGGTCAAATGGAAGAATCTTTTATACACATTGGTTCTATATGACTATCAGGATAGGCTGACTTCCACATGCATCCCACTCTCTATCCATGCTTTGATTATACCCTGTTAATAAAGACTGATGCACCAAGAATAATCAGTATATCACACCAATCATAATCACTGACAAATGTGGTGTAATCAGAATCCTACTTACATTAATTTTAAAATAAGGAACAATAATAGAAATGACCATGATGTTCTCCTGAGTCAGGAACAGAACCAACCTTGAAGGCTTATTAACCTTTAGAGCCCACCTCAAAATGGCAAGCAAGCTTTACAAAGCCCTCTAATTCTACTGTTGTTCAGAATACAACTGGTCCAGATTATCATGGTACTCTTCACCCTACCTGCCTCCATCATTTTCCTTTATGCCCAAAGACAAAGCTATAGTCACCCCACCCAAATGCTCCAGTGTTCCTAGTAATGATCTTACCTAAAATCAATGGCGGCAGAGAAACACAGCAAACACAAGGAGCAAATGATCAGTAAAATGTTTCCATCCTGTCTCTAGGTCACCCTATTAAGCTAGTGAGCAATATGCTGGAACATGGCATGGAGGACTAATCATGGGCAGTGGAAAATGACCTCACATGAGTGAGATGGCTGAATATACAATATGTTTGCATATTGCCATTGTATTCCTACGGTAACTTTTCCTCTGGCCATTCATGGAAGTGTGAAAAGCAGAAATGTAAGCCAAGCAAAGCATGTCAACATTTTACCACCAAAATTAATGAAAAAGGAGAACCTGTATGATGGAGAAGAAGCCTGTATACTTGGCTTCTATCTGGAGAATAGCACTTTTTGGATTACCTGACCCGTCTTTCATGCATTCGAAATTTGTAGACAGTTTCAAGGTATTACCAAGATACTTTTTTACCTGTAGATTGGTGGATTCTGTGTCATATGTCTAATAGATAAAGCTGTAAATTATGTTTACAGTAAGACATTGCAAATAGTAAATGGACCAAGTAAATTACTACAACACAGTTCTGCTGTTATTTCTACCTCTCAGATAAACATACAACTGTTAGAAGTTTTGGTGTGTAAAAGTCTGAAATAAAATTTCTGAACACATAGTACAAATCTAGTTGCTAATGAAGTTAATAAAATGATTAGTGAAAAGATGAAATATACTGGTATATACTGGAAATATGCCTCTCTAATTGGACTTCATGCTATAATTGTATCAGGGCAGAACTCATCTTCCAGATTCTTGAGGTTTATTGGTCAATGAAATGCTGAGGAATGAATGCCTGGAATTTAAAAAAAAAAAAATCGTAGCAGAGCATACAACCAAGACATGTTGCAAATGCAAAGAATGCAGTACGTCACCAGATCTCTCATAACTGCCACTATAAACAAATATGTATATTACGTATATGACTCCCTGAGCGCAAGGGCATAGTAATCTGCCCTTTAATGGCCTGTTAAACTGACAGTGTCAGATGGTTCTGGGAAGGTCAGGTCTGATCTAAAGTATTGATGAATTGCTAGCTAATTCAGCGTGACTGGACATTAAAATGAAAAGTGGTGGACATTGCTATTGAAATCCTAATGATGACATTAATGCAAACACTAATTAACATGACAAAATATTTTTTCTTTTCACTTCATGTAGAAGTTTAAAGATACTAATATATCGATTAATAGCCATGTTTCCTTCCTGTTTAAAAGAATATGTGGCTACAATATCATCACTGATTGATGTGAATGTTCATCTTATTTGATGTTCTGTCAAACGTGGTGCCATCAAACTGGAAAGACATGTTTTATAGAAATAACTAATAAATTTAAAGTAGAACAGAAAGCAATTAACATCTTATAAACTACACCCACTGAGATAAGCATTCCAATTACAAATTTCATTATTTCCTCCAGTCCATTTTACGTTGAATACTGGGTTTTATTGCCAAATACCTGACAGCCAGATTGGAAACAAGCCACAACTGTCAAAGTATAACAGCTCTGACTATTTGAATCTGTTACATTGTGTTGTTTCTCATGAAAATTTAATGACGAGTGAGAAAGGTTCTGTGCATAAGAGGGATGGATAGAATTTAATTACCCCTATTAAAAATAAGAAAGGGAAGCTCTTTACATAGTCCAATTCATTAGTATGCAAGATAGATTATCTTTGTTGTTTGCTTGTTTATATGAAAAACAGGGCCTTGGGAGTGTTCACTGTGAGTCAAGAAGGGAGAAGAAAGGTCATGGCAAATGCATTACACTCACTGTTTCAGCATGGCACATGTCAAGCTTTATTCCAGGGTGAAGGCTTCACTTCCTATAAACTGTTACCAAGTTTATTTCATAAATTCCCTATATCAAACAGCCTGAGAATATCAGGCATTGACACTTCATGTTTATCTGTGGAGTTAGGGCATTCACAGTTGCAAAAGATCAGTGGCTGTTACTTTGGTGTAGTGTGTCTGTGGGTATCCACATTGTCCGTGATTAAGTAGCCACAGGGAGAAGGAAGTCACTAGGGAATGAAAGAGTTGTCAGGTATCCAAGGAAATCCTTCTTAAGTTTTTCAAATGCATCTGAAAGCTTTACTGCAACTGTGGGAAAAGATCGCACCATTTCCTGGCAACACAAGTAATTTATTTGACACTGGACAATTTGTAGTCAATTATTTTTATTCCTTAAAGAATTGCAAGTCAATACTTGCCAAGCAAGATGTTTAATAACAAAGCATGTATTCTACAGTAGTTATTGATCCTTTTTGTTTTCTTACTTGTTCTTTGTGAAGCAAAATAAGACCATCACTGTACTGCTATTAAATATATATCAGTGAAGCTATCAATATATATCAAAGGATAAATAAATATGACTCTTAGATTATTACAGCAAAAATATTACATACCTTGACATTTCTGTTTTGGATTGTATTCCCATTAACTATTAAATCAAAAAATGTTCAGGATCCAAAAATCCACATTGCTTGCACTTGCACAAGTATTGAATCTAAATCAGTAGCTATTCATACCATATGCAAAGTCTCTTTGGAAGTGCAAGAAATTAAAAAGCAGTTTGGACTCTTCCATCCAAAAGACATTCCCCTCGCCATGAAAGGTAAATACATAAGATTTAGGTTCATGAAACTAAAGCTATAGTCCTACACAACTATACTTCAGAATCAGGTAGTATTTAATTCTGAGTAAATGTGGATAGGAGTAGAACTGGACTACAAGCATGCCAATTTGGAATTTTATTGAACTTTTATGTCACCCTAAATTTGTTGGAATCTGTTTATCTGTAGCCTATATTGAACTAGCAAATTAAAAAGACTTATATCCAGTTGGTATTATTCCATTGACTTTATTTTGATTTAGTAGAAGCATCCACTGAAGATGAATGAGACAGTTGCAGGCTGTTTTTCCTTTTCCCTCATTTTCCAGTTCCACAGCCCAGTCTTTTCCAATAGGTTGACAGACCCTTTGGACAATGTGCATTCAAAGAATTCCTGAAATCCTTCTCCCTGTTTATTCAATGGATAGAATTCTTTGCTAGATCAGACAGCATTCCATCAACACCTCGAAAAATATGCAGTACTAATTTTATAATAAATATCTTAATTTTTCCACTAACTAATTAATTTCAGTAAAGTACACTTAATTTCTCATATCAGACATTATGGGAAACTATGGTTTTTTTTTACACAGTTTAGCCTACAAACCTTAGTTTGTGCAGTCCTTTCTTTTTTATATGCTAGAGGAGGTAATCAACAACCTTGTGATTAGTTTGGTTTGTGGTGAATAAGAACTAGGGAAATAGGGAAACTAGTTTTGGTTTACACTTTCTGAAGTTTGTGATGCAGTTCTGCATTCAGAAATACATTTATTAGGGGAAATTGTAAACCCAAATGCAAGTATTAATGAAAGTAAAATTCAAAATACATTATATTAGGGGATTGGGCTTGCAAAACTGCTGCAGATTGGGCAAAATAGCATGCAAAAATATCTATATTTCCACACTAAATTTCATGTGAACATTTTTTTTAATTGCAAACTTATGCAAAAAAGGCTTAGAATGAAATTAGGATAGGACAAACGACAGAGAGAAACTGCAAATCCCTGTTAAATATGATTGTAGTAATATATTTTGTAAATCTGGTTTCTGCTTACTTTTTAGAGGATCAGATTCCTCGTGGTTTCCCCACGATTGATATGGGACCACAGTTAAAGGTGGTTGAACGTACTCGAACGGCCACCATGTTATGTGCAGCCAGCGGCAATCCCGATCCCGAAATAACTTGGTTCAAAGATTTTTTACCTGTGGACACAAGCAACAACAATGGACGTATCAAACAATTACGATCAGGTAAGGTATTGTTACAGTTTACAATAATGACTGAAGTTATTCTTCCTTGATTTTCTTTTCTGTTCTTTTTTAATTATTATTTTTTATTTTATAGGTCATGATTTCTCCTTCTCTTCTCTTTTTTATGTTGTTGAGCGTGTTGTCCATGTCTGTGTTATCATAGCCTGTTTCCAGAATCTGTCAGTGTGTGTCTTGCAGCTTCTGTTTATTCCACATTGCTCACTGCTGTGACTGTAGTTTTGATATTTTTATTTCCTTTACTGCTTTTCAGCAGTATTTGACAGATCCATTTTTCCTCTACCTACCTATCTTTTTATTTATTATTGTTGTTGTTATTATTATTTAAAAACAAATTTATTTCAACATTGGACTTCTGAACATACAAGGAGTACCAATGGTTATACCCATCTAACCCTAAATTTTCATTATTTGTCACTTAAAATATTCTTAAACAATTGTGCTATGTGAATTCTTTTCAACATTTTGAATCCACCAAAGATAGCCAGTTTGGACACATCTTCTTTCCTCTCACTAATACATGAAACACACTACTTTTTTCTCATGTGTTCTCTCTCTAACCTTTCCCAAAAGCAAGCAAGCAAACAATAACACAAAGCTCCTCCGGTTAGCCTGTGAATGGAATGATTTTTACTGGCTGAGTTTTCCAATGCATTTAGCCACAGTAGTGTGCATTAAACACTAATGCTTCATCAATATGACAGTGTCTGGATCTACAGAAGTATGCTTTGGTGTAGAGTCCAGCTTTCGCTGCTCTTTCTCTTTCCCCGTTTCACTTCCCCAAACAATCCTTTCTCCCAGCTTTATGCTCTCTGCAGTTTCATAATAAGATAACTCTAAATTTACTAAGTTGAAAGCTGATCCCCATATAAACTATAATACAAGGGGTGGGAAATATAATAAACTGTTTACTTCGGCAATGATAGTGCTGTAGAATTAGTTGTCTAATCACCTGTCTTCCCAGAATTTTAGCTATTTGACCTGTCCTGTGATGTTAACCCGTCTTGTTAATCAACTTCTGTGCTTGTTGTCAGCAGAACTGTGTAGATTAAACTTCTGTTAATGTAAAGCTAGAAGTAATTTTCACATGTGACATAGATTATTTAGTATATAAAGCTTTAACTTGAAAACTTTTGTACCAAATTATAAGGAATATAATAATATTTTTATGCTGTCTTTCTTCTCTCCGTATTTAAATCTCCAGAATCTATTGGTAAGTGCTTAGTTCTGAAGCGCACTTCACCCCCACTAATTTCATATGCAGAATACTATGATTATGGTATTATAATGATGATTATTACTCTTAAAATGCATGGCATGCATTTTACTAACGGTCAGTGTAGTCACCAGAACTCTGTAGTGGCACACACACAATCCTTCACAAAATTGTTGTTGTATCATTTCTAGAAACACTCAGAAGAAAAATACACAAGTGTCACATAGATGTAGCACAGTAAATGACAAAAGAGTCCAACATAAACAACAGTGTTTATTTCAAGACAGTCTTCAGTGTATCCTCTCTCTCTCATTCTCTCTCTTTCTCCCCCTCCCCCTCCCCTCTATATAGTCACATATTAAACCTATATCTATACCTCTGTCTTTCTATACCTATATCTATATCTATATATATATCATTTAAATAGTTATCCAGTATCACCTCCTAAACACTGTATTAAATGTAGTACTGTAGAATTATCTTTAAGGATTTCAGGCCTATACAATATATTTTCACCTTCTATAACCAAACACCTAAGTTCTTGCTTGAGTTGAGTGACAGGTCTGTCCTGCCCCTTCCCCTCCTCCACAAAAATGATGGCCTTTGTTATTTTGTTTTTTATAAGCTAATAATTGTATCTAAAATATATATTCCTGTTTTTAACAGTATAGAAATTCAAGTTTCTTTTAATACCTTATTTAATTCTGTAACTCTAATTTGATTCTTCTTCCAAAGCCCTAGCCTCCTTCTTCTCGTACTAATGCTTCTTCTTTCTAATCTTATTTGCATTCATATTATCCACCCAGGTGGTACACCAATAAGAGGTAAGAGTGCTGAACTAACGTTCACAGAATGATCTTATTCTTTCTGTCCTTGCACCTTCTTCATTATTGTCCTTTTTTTAAAAAATAAACACATTACAGAAATGTTAGTCATCTTTACTTCTTCCTTTTGTCCTATTCAGTTATGATCAGTGACTTTCATCTTGTGATTTTTTTTTCCCACCATCCTTTTCACATTTCATTAAAAAGAAAAGTTGTGTTTGTTCATTCATTCTTTCTTCAAAAAAAGTTTGTTACTTTGTGATATGCTTCAATGAAAGCATATCCAGGTCTTCCGGCCAAACCCAGTCACAGCGTACCATTTGTCCCTCTTTTTTCTTTTTTCTTCTTCTTTTTCTACCCTTTTTTTCTTTTCTTTTTTCTTCTCTTTTTTCTTTCTTTTTTTTTTGGTCCAACTGGAGCAAAAAAAAAAAGATCATTTTTTTTCTTCCTTAGCTGTTCTTGTTTTGGACCAAGCCAAGATGGTCTGGAGAACAGTTGCAGACATGCAGAAGACAACATGGAATATCTTCTTTTTAACTTTGTCTTTCAAAAGGGTTTCTTTTTTTCTTTTTGTTCAATTGTATTTTTTTCTTTTCACTTATCAAATAAAAAAAACCGCATTCTTCTCCCTAACAAATAACAGCAACACTATATTTTTTTTCTTGGATTTACCGTACACTGGATTTTTGGATCCTTCTGATCTTCAGGCTTTGCAACTGGAAAGGTTGATGATTCAGTATTCTTGGTGGTATGTGGTATTGCTGGTTTTTAATAATTTTGTAAACATTGTTCATGTCTTTTGTAATTCTTGTTTTATATTTTTCTTGGGTTTTGTGACACCACACTGCTAATCCCAGTCGTGGATTTTGATGGGTGTCTTAGGGGGGCCATCCTGAGGTCCTCAGCAGTGGTTGGTTGCTTCTTCCTTGTTGGCTTGGGCCATGCTTTTTAACTTTTTTTTTTTTGGTGCTTTCTAATTCAACTCCTTGTTTTTCAGCAAATGCTCTTAAGATTGTAAGTTGTGGAGAATGTCTTTCTTTTTCTTACCAAATCTGCATGTCTTTAAGGGAGTTTTGTTTCTTTAAAATAATATTTTGATTACTATAAATGACTAATTTGTTTCTTTTTTTCACTTCAAGCAGCCTTTTTTTTGTACTCGCTGCACATTTTTGGCCTTCTTCAATGGGAGACTTTCTTGAAACCCATCTTCTCACTTTTTTGCCAAGTGCCACTTTTATATTACTTTTGTTGCAAAAAGAAATAATTTAATAAACAAAATGGCAGCGACCCAATGACCTAATCTCGTTTGTTTTGTTTTAAAGCCATACTTCCTTGAAGCAGTCTCACCCATCTTCATTTTAATAGTCTAGGAAAAAACAGTATTATGCTAGAAATTTGTTTGCCAAATGCAGATTGTTTTCCTGTGCTAGCATTGATGGTGTGAAAAAAATAATCTCTTTGTTTTTTTCATCACATCATTTTTTTTGTCTGTGTCACCTTAGCGAGAAAATGAACCGACGTTGAGTGGACCTTCGCTTTCAGGGCTATTCATGATTATTAAGTGGTGTGTAGTTGGAGACATGAAAACCCGGTTTTTAACAGTTTCTATGGCAATATATTTTATATTCATACAGGTGCCCTCCAAATCGAACTGAGTGAAGAATCTGACCAAGGCAAATATGAGTGTGTTGCAACCAACAGTGCGGGTACTCGCTATTCTGCCCCTGCCAATCTATATGTCAGAGGTAGGAATGACATAACCCTGGCATCCACTCTTCATTCAGGCTCAAGGGGTGTTAAGATACTCTCGGGGTCTGTGGTGTAACTACAGTAGCATATAAACTGTCAAGGCAAAAAAATAACAGTAAGAAAATGTTTTAAAATCTTAGAGGAATGAAATTTGGGGGGGGGGGGGACTGATATGAATACAGACACTTTTGAGTCCAATCTGCCCCTGTGACTTAAGGTTTGTAAGTATGCTTACATTTTTACATCTTGACTTCTACTTTTCCTGCATTGATTATTGACCTGAATGTTGCATTTATTTTGGGTCTTTCTTTTTCTCCCTTTCTCGGTTTGTTTTGTTAAATTCCTAACGTGATTGCTTGTGGTGAAACTAATTCAGTTCTAATTGAAACTCAGGGTGTTGAGGTGTGTAGCCACATGACCTCTGCTGCTGAGTTGTAAAGGAAAAGTTCTTAGCTTGGAAATTCTTTGTGAAGAAGACAATTGTCTAGCTTTCCTTTTCTGTTTCTTTAAGCATAGTTTCATACAGCTATATTTTTATTTTAAATTGAAATTTTATCAGTAAAATATAAATCCCTGGCACTGCTGTAATGAACTAGCTGTCATGTGTATTTAAAAAGGGTGTGTGGGGTGGTGAAAGTGATAACTTTTTGATAGGCATGACTTAGAAGGATAGATTCATATGAGTATATTATTGTGAAGTAAAGGGCATGATTGCTTTTTAAAATTATGGAAACATGCCTTGTTGGTTTTGTATATTTGAAGTGCTTCCTTTTGGCCAAATTTCCAGTGCCTATCTTTTAAGGGCAATCTGAAGAGCATGTCTTTGAATGCATACATCGATAATCCTGTCTGCCCGATGGAAGCGTGGGTTGGAAGGGGGCGGGAAAAGACTTTTATGCACACAGCTTTTGGATCATTACTTTAGTGTGAGGGACACTGTGCAAAACTTTTGTTTAAAAATATGATTTACTCTGAAGAGTTTGCAGGTTATTACGGCCTCCTTAGAAAGCTATTTGGTCCTTTTCCTTTCAAAATACTGTACTGCATGAGGCATGCGTGCCATTACTACCTGAAGGGATTTTATTTTCTTTCAAAGTAATGCTAGATTCTAACACCGTGATAGCCGCAAGAAATTGCTAACTTTCAGACTGAGGTAGGGAGCTTTGGTTAGAGCAAGTAAAGTTGTTCAAGTAGCAGTTGAAAGCCTTGATATGGCCTTTTTACTCTCTCTGTGTTTCCCTTGTTTTTCTCCTTTCCTCATTTCATTGTGTTCTGCATCAAACCCCCTACATCCCTCAGAGCTGCGAGAAGGTTGGTGTGTTTTTTACTTTTTTACCCACCTTACAAAATATTAATTAAACCAATAACAAAGAATACAAATGAAATGAATGTAGCTGCATTGTGGCCTTTTTATTTTTCAGTTATTGTTATGTTTAAGCAGAGAATGCTCTGGTCATGGCTTTTAATGTGTGCCGGTATCTAACTGTTGTGCATGATGAACGAGAGAGAGAGTCTGGTTGCATGATGAACCTGTAACACTCTTAACACGTTTAAGCCCTTGTCAATTTGGTCAGTGTTCCTGCTTTCCCCCCCCTTTAATTTCTGTTGTTGATGCCTGCTGATCCAAGAATGACTTCCTCTGATTGCTCCTTCAAGCAGCCCAAGCATGAAGACTAAAAATTCTTCTATGTTTTATTATTTTTTAAAAAGAAAGGAATCCTGTTCTATACTACAAATTCTGTATTGCCTGTCACTTGCTTTGTGTGACCTCTGTCAATTGGCTGCCAAAGGCATGCTTTGCTCTTTGTTCTCCCTGTGCCCTTCCCATTCACTCACAAGGCCATCACAGCAAGCCCCTCTGAATCTGCAGATGTTTACCAACATTTATCTCAATCCAGTGGAAAGGCTGCGATTAAGGAAATTTTCATTTTGTACTCAGAGCCCCTAATCCAGATAAAGTTATTGCTGCTCAAGTCTCACTGAAATCAATGGCCCAAGTTAGCTGAGACTAACTTAAGTCTTGTTGATTTCAGTGGGGTGTAGCACCACCAACTTTCTCTTGATTAGAGTCATGGCCGTTGATTTATATAGTATGCTGAATTTAGAAGAATACCATTAGCTTCTTGTGTAGAAAGCCCACATACATAAAGCACAGAGTACTTTGTTGAAATGCGCAACTCTGTTGCCTCTCCTCTCACCATACATACACAACCTTGTATAGATGCACAGAATATTTGAAGCAGGAGCACTGATCTATTATTGCCTTGTATTGCTCAGTGTTGTGTTTGCTTAAACATTAACTACTCTGTTAATGCAATACCTTGCTGCTATGTGTTTTAGGTATTACTGTCCCTCATTCTGTGCACATAGAGCTTCCTTTAATATTATTATAGTTATTATTATTAATCCCAGCAGCTTACTTTGCTTTCCCTTCTATGTGAACACGGTTGAACCTGGAATGTTTTAATGTCCTGCTCCTTCCCTGCCACTGTACACTTGCTTCATAACAATCTTAGGCTTAATCAAATATCTTCCTACTACCAGTCCTATCCTCTTAAAACTTCTATTTCTTTCAAACTATTTTGCCCTCACATTTTTTAAAATTCTCTTTTATATCCCATTACATTTCTCCCCTCACCATTTTTGTTTTGGTTTGGTTTTGTACTTATACAAATTTCCTGCCCTGTGATTCTCTCCTAAGCATGATCCCCTATAGACTCTGTCATTTGCTTGCCTGCATGCCCAAATTCAGTACTCATACTGGCTTGCCTTGTTTCTTCTCCTGTGACTATATATATATATATATATATACACACACACACACACACACACACACACATATACACACACTCATATATATATATATATATATATATTTCCTATGTTTGTTTTGGTGTTAGTGTGAGGTCTTGAGGCTGCATCCACATTTTGAGTCTGAAAGCAAATCAGAATTGCATTTTCAGTGTACTGTAGGTGATGTGTTTCAGGGCTGTGATGTGACAATGTGTTGCAGCACATTTCTTTACATCAGCTGGAAGTGTGCAGCATTGAAGTTGGATTTGATACTCAACTCAAGCATGCTGTCAACTTTCCAGTTTTCTTCTGTACATATTTATGTATACATATGCATATAGAATATACATGCATATATTTGAGTGTGTGTGTGTGCGCGTGCGTGCCTATTTTGCATGGTGTTTGTGTGTTGTTAATACGTAGTTAGCTATTTGTGGGGCCTTATTAGGTTAAAAATGATTGTGGTTGATTGTGGTTAAAATACTGATGAGTAAATGTAAAAGAAACCTCTTCTTCCAAAAACTATATGTACAGATAATATACCTGTTTAGTGTATATACATATATATTAGCAAATAAGAGTAATAGTTCATGCTTTAATCTATGTCTAAAATGCATGTAGTCTTGTGTGCAAGATCTACATTTCCCATTTTTGTATGGGTTATTAGCTTTATTTGTGTGTCATTCCAGTTCGCCGGGTCCCACCAAGGTTCTCAATCCCACCCACCAACCATGAAATTATGCCTGGAGGGAGTGTTAACATTACCTGTGTTGCTGTGGGATCACCAATGCCATATGTGAAGTGGATGCTGGGTGCTGAAGATTTGACGCCAGAAGATGATATGCCCATAGGAAGAAATGTCCTGGAACTTAATGATGTCAGGCAGTCTGCCAACTATACTTGTGTGGCCATGTCTACCCTTGGTGTTATAGAAGCAATAGCACAGATAACTGTCAAAGGTAATAGGCATATATGTGGAACTTTTTTTAAAAAAATACACTTGTTATTCCATGTTTTACCACTAAAAACTAGATTTTAAAATTAAGCAAACATGTTGGATCCAGACTTAGTTGCACTTGGGTCTCATTGATTTTAATCAGAACTAAATATTTTACTTATTTCTTTTATTTATTTAAACAATTTATATGCCGCTCCATCACATGAGCCTCGGAGTGGCTTACAGTCATTAAAATCCCATATAAAATACGAAAAAAAATCATCAAATAAATAAAATACAAAAAATAAAATAAAATAGTGGAGCCAGCCTGGTCAATTTAAACCAACAAATAAACCATTAACAGTTAAAATAGCATTTAAATAAAAAGGTCTTGGCCTGGCGCCAAAAAACAAATAAGGACGGCACCAGGCGGACCTCTCTGGGGAGCGCATTCCATAGGTTGGGCGCCACCTCAGAGAAAGCCCTCCTCCAAGTATTCACCCTCCGAATATCCTTCACGGAGGGTTCCTGGAGAAGGGCCTCTGTCACCAATCTCAGGGGGCGGGAGGGCATATATGGACGCAGGCGCTCCTTTAAGTAACCAGGGCCTAAGCCGTTCAGGGCTTTGTAGGTGATAACCAGCACCATGAATTGGGCCCGGACTTCAATGGAAAGCCAGAGGAACTGATGGAGGACTAGGGTTATATGAGAACAACATCCAGTCCCCGTCAGCAACCTGGCAGCTCTATTTTACACCAATTGAAGTATCCGGACCGTCTTCAAGGGCAGCCCCACGTAGAGCGCGTTACAGAAGTCTAATCGGGAAGTGGCCAATGCATGTGTCACTGTTGCCAGGCAGTCGTTCTCCAGGTAGGGAGATATAATTCCTTTAAATATGAATGCAATATATATTCACTAGTTTGCTTGGTTTATTCTGTTTCTTCAAATTAGAAGTAAAAAGTCCTCTGCAATTCACTGAAGCAATGCCCCTTGACCACAGGTGATCCTATAAAATCCCCTTTCCCTTCCAATATGCTCAGCTACTATTAATTTACTTTCATGTCTGTATTTTGAACCACAGGGATTCTAAGCTTAAATGAAGGCTGAGATGCTCAGAAGTTACATGAAGGTCAAGTTACATGTTCTCCTTTGGAAACATAGCTTGCACTTGCATCTTTTTTACTTGTTCTAACATCAGTGTTGGGGCTTGACCACAACAGCTTAGAATGCTAGCTTTGATAGCAGAAAGTAGACAAATCTCTGACTCTCACTGTGCTCCTGACCTATTTGATCAGGTCACTTACACATGAAAGTTTCATTGCAAAATGGTGTTTAAACCATCTGTGCCATATGGGCTTAAAGCTATACAGAGGGAATATGTGAAAACTGAGGACCTGGGCTGTCCTGCTAGCAACAATTCTAGTATCACAAGCTAGATTTACCCTGTTCCTCAGCAAATGCAGATGCAGAAATGGGAGCCTCAGCATATGAAAATCTAGAAGAGTCCCTCATGTCTAGACATCCCTCTTCAGACATTTGCACTCAGTACACAGGAGAATTACTCCAACCATGGCGCTCTTATTTCATTGATTATGGTGTGTAATGTAAGTTGAGTGGGATGAAATGTGTGGCATTCATGTCAAAGAAAATGTGCTCCATGTGGAAGTTTTGATTTGTTACTCAAATGGTACAGTTTTCAAGCCTTTTGTGAATTTTCACTCATGCAAATACTTAGTGAAATTAAGCCTCACATTCAAATATTAAGCCTCACATTCTAATAATATAATACTGCCTTTTGATTATTATTATTTTTTTGCTGGCAAGGATAGAAAAAGCTAGTACAGTTGTTATTTAGTTGGATAAAATTACATTTTAAAAGGGATTTGTCCCCTTATTAAATCAATAGACTTGCAATTATCCTCCCCAGAATCTTCTCCTTTTCTGTTCATCAGACTTACTCACATAGTCAGCCCTTGCTTAGGAAGCAAACAGAGAAAGGGAAGTCTGCAAATGCTTGCAGATGTCTGCTTGTGCAGCCGCCAACCTTCCTCCATACACAAGCCAAGCCATGGGAGCAGGAGAAATGCCACTCACATGGAGTTCACATAGGCTTGCTTCTGGGCAGGTGCCCATATGAATGCTCAGTACACTCACCAGGAGGTTGGACTCATGGCTGCAAGAACGTGGACTGAAGTGTGGGGAGCCAAGCCCAGGGAATCCAACAGTTTTCCATCCCTGAAATGGATTCTTCATATGTCCCTAGAAATCAGCTACAACTGTTTCCTTTTTACTTGTCATATCAGAAGAGATCCCTTGGATAATAGGGTGGCATGCAAATGCAATAAATAAATATGGCTCATCATTTTGCTTAGAAATGATGTTCAGCTTTAATTTTTTGTCAGCTGAATTTATGTTATTATATTGTTTTTCCAGCCTTACCTAAACCTCCAGGAACTCCTGTTGTAACAGAAAGTACAGCAACAAGCATCACTTTGACTTGGGATTCTGGAAACCCTGAGCCGGTATCTTACTACATAATACAACATAAACCTAAAAACTCTGATGAACTTTATAAGGAAATTGATGGAGTGGCCACAACACGATACAGTGTTGCTGGCTTAAGCCCATATTCAGAGTATGAATTCAGAGTTGTTGCTGTCAATAACATTGGGCGAGGTCCACCCAGTGAACCTGTATCAACACGGACCTCAGAGCAAGCACCATCTAGTGCACCACGCAATGTACAGGCTCGTATGTTGAGCTCAACCACCATCTTGGTACAGTGGGAAGAACCTGAGGAACCCAATGGCCAAATTCAAGGATATAGAGTCTATTATACCATGGACCCTTCCCAGCATGTCAACAGTTGGTTGAAGCATAATGTGGCTGACAGCCACATCACCACCATTGGAAATCTAGTACCACAGAAAACTTACTCCGTCAAAGTTCTTGCTTTTACCTCAGTTGGGGATGGACCTCTTTCTAGTGACATTCAAGTCATCACTCAGACAGGAGGTAAGGTGACACCCGTAGTCATGTATTCTAATCAGTACTGTTGGAGGTTGCATGTTGTTTTAAGCAATGAACTCTGTACATAAGGAAGCTCTGGAATGGATTATTCTGGCAACCTATGAAGTTAGGATGTTGCAGTATACTGATTTAGGCCATCAATCCATCTAGCCTGGTTTTGTCGACAATGGCTGATGGTGGCACTCCAGGGTTCAAAGCAGGATCTTTCCTGGTTGTACCTGGAGAAGCCAAGGATTGAATCTGGGACCTTCTGCATGCAAACCAGCTCTGCCACTGAGTTTCAGTCCACTTCATAGTTTTAAAGTATTTCTTTAATTGTGCATTTCTTTACCATTTCTTATATTTTTAAACACTCTCTGAAACGTCATTTGTTAGAGCTTTTCATTTGTTTTCCTGGTTTCATTTTTTACAAAAAAATATTTTTGAAAATTCTCTTACAAGGTGCTTCCCAGTTCTATGGTTGTGCTGTCTGTATAAGGCCTGTATTGTCCTTTCTGCTTCACCTCTGCATATATTTGGTCTGTTGGTGGTGCTGGTTTTGTTACTGTTACTTACTTTGTATCTCTACTGAAGCTCCCTGGGAGGTTTACAACACTCCATAAAAACAAGACAATAAAATAACAGTACAAATATAATATCAAAGAAACATTAAAAAATGTAAACTATATATGAAATATTCAAAAAATCTTACTTTCATTTCTGTATGCTGTTTCTCTGTTTCCTGCCTAATATAGTTGTTCCATTCATATGTTGCTGAATTTTTCTTCCACAGCTCCTTCAGGAGCTATATTTTTTGTTACTTTGGCTGAGTAATGCAAGGTAAATGATCCCTCTGGACAGGTATCCTATGAAAAATGGCAGACCTGTACCAAATAAAACTGCCTTAAAGCAGTGAGTTAATAAGTAGTCTAAACCCTGCCATATAAAATACAAGAAAACTGCTAGAAATGCAGTTCATCTTATTTAGGACTTTATACTTGCACATGACGGCCATATTGTCAAGAAGTTTCTTTAGAATAACTTTTATTTTCTTTAAAATCGTGTATTCCCACCCTAACATTAAAGATTTCAAGGAGACATCCAGAAGCATCTAATGAGGTGTAGTGATTAGGAGCATGGAAGCCGACTCAGGCAATCTGGACTGTAGTCCCCTCTTAGTCCTGGGATCAACTGAGTAAATTTAGGCCAGTCATAAACTCTCAACCCGACCTATGTCACTGGGTTGTTGTTGAGGGGATAATGTTAAGAGCAGGAGGAGGAGAATGATGTAGGCAGCCTTAAGTTCTTTAAAAGAACAAAGTTGGGATATAAACCAAATAAATAAACATATACATGTTGAAGAACTACAAAATAAGTAACAATAGAACAACAACACCTCAGAATCAGAGACAGACTCAGGGCCTATCATTCTTAACACACACATGCACAGGACTTCATTGCGACAGCTGCAGCCAGAGTTATCCTTATAATAATCTTGTAATAATCTCTTGCTGAGGGACAATATCTTAAATAATATGGAAAATTAGGAATTGGGAATCAAGAGTTCCCATTTTAGGTTCCAAGTGTGAACCGTTGTCCACTCATTCTTATAAATAATCATTTCACAAAGGATTTTAATAACTATGAATAAATGATCATAGTTCTCTTTGTGAAATGTATACAGAATTTCTTTTCCCACAGTCATAAAGTTACAGAAATATACTTAGAGCTGTGGTCTTTCTTTTTCCTTAGTTTGAAGAAATGTTCTATGAGCCATTGCATCACTTGATCAATCATTGTACCTCAGAGTCGGGACTGGGAAGACAATCTGCATCTTGATTTCCTTGTCTTTTTCCCTCTCTTCTCCTCCTTTGATTAGACTTCCTTACTTAACTAAATGATCAGCTTAATCTGTATTACTTGTAAGGAAGGGAGTTGCATTAAAATGCAACAAATATAGATGTTTAACATTAAAGACTTGTATCAGAGAGACTATTTAAAAAGAACTCTTCAAATTTTGCTAATTTTAATGGAGTAAGGAAGGCAGAGCTCAAATTAAACTCCTTCCCAATAGAATTTATTCCTAATATTTTCCTTACAAAGCCCCTGCTCCCCCCACCCACAGTACGCCAAACGTAACATAGACACAAAGAAGTATTGGGGTCAAAGAGCAAGGATTGCCTTGCTGCTCATTTGTCTGGTAACACTCATACAGCTAGCTTCCCCATGTCTAGCCATACTGAAGGGTGTTTATATCAAAGAGTCAGCATGACCAAGAGACAAATGTGCTAGGGGGCCAGTGTCTGTAGATAGATATATAACATTTTGCAGCATCTCCTTCCTCAATAAATGTCTTCATTTTAGGAACATATTCAGGGCAATTTTGTTTCGTGAATTCAAAAAAATCCAACACATTCACCCACACAGGATCAGGACTGTGGTGAATGAGGAGAAGCCTTCAACCCTTTTCCCCAAACTGATGCTTTTAGCCCTGGAAGGTGCTCTTGTTGCCAATAACAGTTTACCTCTTGGATCAAGCAGCAACTTCTAGGGGAAGAGTTTCATCAGCAAAATTAGTGCAGGAGTAAGAGCCCTTTTGGGGACTGCAGGTGGCGCAGTGGTTTAAACCACTGTGCTGCTGGGCTGGTAGATCGAAAGGTTGCCGGTTTGAATCTGCACAACCATGTGAGTTCCCGTTGCTTCGTCCCAGCTCCTGCCAACCTTGCAGTTCGAAAGCATGCAAATGCAATTAGATAAAAAGGTACCACTTCGGTGGGCAGGTAACAGCGTTCCGTGCACTTTGGTGTTTAGTCATGCCGGCCACATGACCATGGAGACTGTTTGTGGACAAACACTGCCTCCCTCGGCTAGGAAACGGAGATGAGCACTGCCCCCTAGAGTCAGGCATGTCTGGATGTAATGTCAAGGAGAAACCTTTACCTTTACTTACTTTAAGAGTCCTTTCGTACATCTCAAGCTTGCAATCCTGATTCCAACCCATCCACCCACATCCACACAGTTTAAAACTAAAACGGAAACCAGTACTTTAAAATGTAAAGTCTTAGGAAGTGAAGTAATGATGCCATATGAAATGCATGCATTGCTGAGATGGAAATTTGCCATTAAGTTTAGAACATGACTTACCTCTTTAGCTCTCAAACCTCCTGCTGCAGAAGATTACAGAAAGCTCCTGATTGCATGCTGAAGCATTGCACCTGAGACCTGGACGGCATGTAACTTGTTTGAGCTACAACCATGGCAATTCATTTAGCCTTTGCACTTCTGTCACGTATGCTAACTATACATTTCAGAGTAGTTATTGCCATTGCCAAATATGTATCTGCTATATTTCTTACCCATGTTAATATAGCATGAACTTTTAAGAATTAGGGAGATATTAAAGATCTGTTCCTCTGAGATGATTATTCAGTAAGAGGTCACAAGATTAGCTGGTATGTGGAACTACAGTGTGAAACCTTTTCCCCAAAGTATTACATTGCTACATGGGTGGCAAAGGATAGATTTTTCCTTCCTTCTTCATGATCATATTTATCATGGTAATATGCATGGTAATATTTGCTTTGGCTGGATAAACACTTAGCACAAATCTGCCTTTGCTGTAAGTAAAAGATGAGAATCCAAAAGACAGTTTTCCAGCTTCCTCATATGTAGGATGATGTGGTAATTTCTGAGTCTGTGCTGTAGCAGTGTAGATCAAAGTACAATTAACATGTCAATGTGTGCGTAGTACTTGTGAGAAGTGAATACCATTCAAGCCACAGTAGTAACTCTAATAAAGACCAGGATTGTGGGTTTAATTTCCTACCTGAGCAAACAGTTGCACAGAAAGCAAGCACAAAATATGTTTGGAATATATTTTGTGCGCATGTCTGTGTTGGGGGTAGGAAGTGCTTTTTACTGGAGATGTGCTATACCTACTCAGTCCTTTAATTTGAATGCACTTGAGAAGGAATGTACAGCTGTGAGGAACAATCCTTGAAAAACTGTTGAATAAGTATCCTAAATAATACTTATTGATATAATGTCTTCCTGTTTCAGTACCGGGACAGCCATTGAACTTCAAAGCTGAACCTGAATCTGAAACAAGCATATTACTTTCTTGGACCCCTCCACGGTCTGACACAATCTCCAACTATGATCTTGTTTACAAAGATGGAGAACATGGAGAAGAGGTAAATTTGATAACTTCCCACCTTTTACAAACATTTTGCTACTATTCCAAACCTACAGTTTGCACTAATCATGACACTGGAGTAGTGTTCCTTTAGTCCTTGTGCCAAGACAACAACATTTTATTCATTCTATTAATGTAACATTTAAGATATCACAACTATATATGTATACCCCATAACTATGATCATCCACCCCTCACAGATTTTTAAGAATTTGGCTGAAGTAGCTTCCCTAATTTATATAAAATTCATCTTACAGCATTCAGATTATCAAATGTTATGTTACATGTCAGCAAAGTGATGCTTAGTATTAGATTTGATGGTACTGTCAAGATTCAATTTCTTTTAGATACTTGTGTGATTAAGGTAAGTTATGGTCATTCTTCATGACTGTCACATCTAGTATGTCATTATTTCTTCATCTTAAATGCACATGAATTTGCATATAGTGTAGTATCGCTTGAAGAGTGATGCTACGTTCCCAGACAAAGTCATGTGAAGTTTCTTAAGATACAACCAAGGAATGACAATCTCTCAAACAGATCAGTCTTCTTTTGCAACATCACTGTGTTGAATTTTGGGTTGTGCTAGACAGGTAGTTAGTCTTCTATTAAGGTTTTATAGGTGAATTTCTTGAGAGAATTAATTGCCTTGCCTGTATCAGATCATTGACAGTGTTTAATTGTAAGAACATACAGTTAAACATTGTCTAACTATAGTTTCTTCTGAAGTTCAAGATCACCTTATGATAAAAGTCCATCTTTATATCTGTAACAAATATTGCTGAGCAGATGCATGTTTCATTGTTATTCTAGTGACCTCTAAACTATCAAACAACTCCCTCCAATACATACACAGTTGGTTGCATACTGGTATCTTGCTCAGTTTTGTTCTATTGTTTGTGTAAATTTGCTTCTAATTATTTTCCATTGTGTGCATAAGACAGCACAGTATAGGAAAAGCAGCTTTGAAACAGAACAATGGCATTACTAAAGTGTTTCTTCATGGTTTAAGATATGAACTTAACTATAATTAGTTCAATGTGATTTCCATTGAAATCCTTTGGAGGCAGGGGAATGTGGCTGAAGACCTTCCTGTCCTAACAGTTACATTCAAGAGCAGTTACCCTCCAGGCCAGCCCCATCATGTGGAAAGTCTGTGTGCTGGCACCACCTGCCACCAGGGCCATGTGTTTCTCAAACATGGTAAAAAGAGTTTCACTTTGGTACCCTCCGTGCAGATATTAAAGTCCTCCTGTCCTCCATACTAGTTTACTGGTTTAGACTGGGACCCTACAGGCAATGGCCAGTACAAATGAAAAGAATGTAGCTGTAAGGCACAGATGTAAATCTTTGCCCTTCATTGCACAAAAACTGATACAATGTGACAGTTGCATGGAGCTGTAGCCACACACAGTGTTTCCGGTAGTCTTCATCAGCCTGCCATAAGATTTCAATTGGTCTTTATGCCTAAACAGAAGTTTTAGGTTTGGATGCTGCAAAAGTGCAGGCAACCAAATAGTCATTCTTTCCTTCTTCTTTCTGATTTGCCATTTAGCAACGTATTTCTATTGATCCAGCTACATCTTACCACTTACAAGGCCTAAAACCAAATAGTTTGTATTACTTCAGACTGTCTGCACGCTCTCCACAAGGTCTTGGTGCTTCAACAGCAGAAATCTCAGCTAGAACAATGCAGTCAAGTAGGTGTCTCTCCTTGAATACTTCCATTTTGCTTCCTTATATTTGTTGGCGACATTTTTGACAGGCACAGAAAACTCTGTTACTTTCTAGTTGGAGCCAACTAGAGAGAATTTAACTGAAATCTTAGGTAGATACATGCAAAGAACTATAAGCGTTGGGTGACATGCCACACTGCATGGGTTAATCCTGTTCTGCTCGCCATCCATCTCAACCAAGTTTGTGGGGAGCACATAAGGGTGCATGGGAAAGGGGGAATCATCAACATCCATCAACAGTGGCTGTTCTGCTGGGACCAACACAACTGAATACATCCCATGCTTTTTGCATTTTCTTAAATGAGTGGTATGGTGCCTGTAATCATGGTTGGAACCCTTAAGAGCAACTAGAGGTGGACCCTGCATCCACTGCTCTGAGTACAAAATTTTGTACTCTAGCCATTTTCTGGAGTATTTTTTGAATGTTGGGAATTTCAGAACAGCTTTGGCCATAAATTAGCTTTTGCCATTCACTGGAGTCTGCCATTACAATACACTTAAATATCTACAGAAAAATACATACTTTTACAAATTAGGTGGATTATTCACCAAATAACATTTTATTCAAAAGTACACTATTACATATTCCTTCAAAGAAAGGGCATTCTTGATTGAAGCAAACTTGTAAAAAATAAAAAGTGACAATGTGTCATTCCATGCAATCCTATTTTTAAATTCAGACTGCTTGGAAGATGTTTCTCATATTTGCATTTCTTTTTTACATAAGAATTCTCTTCCATGAGGGATCCAGTGTGGTGTAGTGGTTTAGACTGCTGAGCTGAGACTCAGATCTGGGTTCTAGTTCCCACTCAGCCATGACACCAACTGGGTGCATTTGAACCACCCACAGTTTCTCAGCCCAACCTACCAACAGGGTTATTGTTGTGAGGACAAGAATGAGAATAGGAGGAAAATAATGTAAGGTGCCTTGAGTTATTTGGAAGGAGAAATGGCAGGATATAATTATAGACTGCTGAGCTGAGACTCAGATCTGGGTTCTAGTTCCCACTCAGCCATGACACCAACTGGGTGCATTTGAACCACCCACAGTTTCTCAGCCCAACCTACCAACAGGGTTATTGTTGTGAGGACAAGAATGAGAATAGGAGGAAAATAATGTAAGGTGCCTTGAGTTATTTGGAAGGAGAAATGGCAGGATATAATTAAAAAAATCTTGCCTAAAACTAAATCCTTTATTAAAAGCATATCCATGTTTGAAAAGTACCCCATGTCATTTTGGGGTAGGGGGGAAATTGAAAATTTGTGCAATCTTACAGATATCTATTCAGAAACACTTAGCTTTGACTGAATTGATGTTTCTAAACCCAGCACCTTCTAAACCTTTTGGCAGCCCAAAAGGAGTTAGAAAAAGAGCATGGACAAATCAACCCTTAAATCAGTGGGAGTCTGAAATCGTGCATAGTGCATAGATGTGTTTGCATGCTTGAATGAGTGAGTGAGGGGAGGGAGATCAAGGTATCAAATTTCTCCAAACATTTCAAATACCTACATGCTAAATGTAGTAAAAGGTGCTGGTAAAGTATTCTGCAAGCTAAGTGCTTCAAATAGATTTTAAACGTATTTGCATAAACAACAGTGGACAAATATTCTGGTTGTTTTTCAGAGAAATGTAACATAGCATATAAAAGAGAGGTGGACTACTTGTGCCACCCTCCAATGTTTTGACCTATAAGTCCTGTCACTCCTTGCCATCGGCTGTATGGGCTGGAGCTGACAGAGGTTGTAAGCCAAAGGATCCAGAGAGCAACAAGCCAAGTGTATCGTGTTTAGTTAGAAAACTTTTCTTTTTGTGGGGAGCTTCACAGAGTTTTAAAAATATATATTAGAGGTTTGTTCCTTGTTTAGAGTGGGAGGGGGTATAGTTTTTTGTATGCATTATAAAATCGCTGGTAGACTTTAACTCTTTGCTAGTCAAGGTTTCTCCAAGAGGAGCTAAAATATAAAAGAAAGACTCGACCCAGGGTAAGTATAAGTTACAGTCAGAATCATCAGCCCTGTCACTTTTGCATGGTAGGTACATCTTTGACTGAACTAGCACAATCTTCTTATAGATTCTGCATGTTTTACCTTATTTGACTACAACCAGTGTTTGAATAAGTACTCACAGTTTACATTAAACTTTAAGTATAGTTGGCTTGGTCCATGCCAACTCACTTGCAAATAAAAGTGTGATAGGAAATCAGTAGTATGTTTATGGTTTGGGCTCTTTTTACTTATTATTTGAGACGTACCAGAGTTAAAAACAGATTTGATTTTTTTCAGTGCTTAGTACAAAGTAATGTTTTATGTCATGCAAAGCAATATTTTGAATAGTGATACAAGACAGGACAGTATGGCCAAACATTTGATTAAAAAAAAGAAAAAGAAAGACCAGCAATCATGTAAGAGCACAAATGCATAGAGACAGAGAAGTATGATGTTTGATGTTTTTATTTCAAGAAGAATTTTTAATCACAGGTAGGTAAAAAAATATTGAGGTTCATTTTCATGTATTTCCCCCACATTCCTTTTCACCTTTTATTTAATTCATTTTCAGTTTGTTCACTTTAATAAGCCAAGGCTCATAAGATTGTGTAAAGTTTCTGCTTTCTAAGTTTGTGATTTTATTTTTCCTGAGTTTGCCCTTTGTTATTTATTTTTTTCTTTCCTTTTGTTCATTTTTTTTCTTCAACCACTTCTGTCCTTTCACTCAAACCCTCCTTTAACCCACTACTGAAATTAGAGCCATCAGCTCCTCCTCAAGACATTAGTTGCAACAGCCCCAGCTCCACTAGTATTTTGGTAAGTTGGCAGCCTCCTCCAGTGGAAAAACAGAATGGAATTATCACTTCCTACTCCATCAAGTACTCTGGAATTGATGGAGAAGATGACAAGCCCCATGAAATTTTGGGAATTGCTCCGGACACTACACAGTATCTTTTGGAACAGTTGGAAAAATGGACTGAATATCGGATTTCTGTGACAGCCCACACTGATGTCGGACCTGGCCCAGAGAGCGAATTTGTATTGATTCGGACAGATGAAGATGGTATGTTTCCTACAACACATCAGTTTGACACTCTGTCTCAATCTGCTGTCTTTATATGGTCTAAGAATATTTCTTTTCCCCCTTCTCATCTTTTTCCCCAGTTCAGTTTCACAAACTATTTCAAACACAAAATGCCAATATCTGCATTTGTGTATGTGTGGTATTCTTTTGTTTTTGTTTTGAAACCAAACTATTTTCTTTTTTGACCAGAATAATCAAACTCTGATACCCCTTATTAAAATGTACATTTTTTCCTTACAACAAAATGGAAATATTTTGAGATTTTAATCCTTCTTTTTTCTTAATTTTTATATCTTCCAATTTTAATTCTCTGTTTATGAATACTCTAAAGTATTCTCTCTCTTTAAAGAACTGATGCTCATCACTTTTATAATATTTTGGATGCTGAATATATTTCATATCTGAACACTGAAGATGATAGCCCAGTTGTCCTTAACTTTTTGCCCCAACTTTAAAAAAACAGAAAACAAACAACATTTTAAGAGTCTTTTTCTTGTTTTGTTATTATTTTGATTACTAAAATACTTCTTTGTACTTTAATGCTTTGAGTCTCAAAGCATCTTCCTTGGCTTTTGTACATTTTTACATGTTTTTTCTATTTAATACTCTTTTTTCTTCCATTTTTGCATCAGTCATGGTTTTTGATCTTTTCACTGAAATGTAGAGCAGATTTGTTGTGTTTTCATTTGTATTCTTCAAGGAAGGCTTAGTGGGTCTGCTCTTTAAAAAGAAAAGAAGGAAAGAAAGACAGAAAGAGACGCTGGTTGATTGGGACAAGTGCCTGTAATTCTTCTTTTATCCACTGATATGTTCCAGTTCCTAGTGGTCCTCCTCGCAAAGTCGAGGTAGAGGCTGTCAACTCTACATCTGTTAAGGTGTCATGGCGGTCACCAGTCCCCAATAAGCAGCATGGTCAAATTCGAGGATACCAAGTGCATTATGTGAAGATGGAAAATGGAGAGCCTAGGGGGCAGCCCATGCTGAAGGATATCATGTTGGCTGATGCACAGGTAATTCACCTCATTGTCTAGATAACACAGAAATGGTATATTGATGGCACACCTATGTCTTTTTTTAGCTTGAACAGAAAACTAGAATGTTTCCTTCTTGTTTCAGTAGTTTATTGCCATCAGAGTAAAATACTGAATGGTTTTGAACCAAAATGTTGGACTCCTGTACCTCTGAAACTTATTTCATTCTGAATCTGGAGCTACCCATATTAAAAGGTGCAGTATGAGAACAGCCCCAGTTGCGTTCATGTACACATGCATGTTCATGCTAATTAACAGATATACAAGATTTGACAATATTGATATTTTGTCAAATCTTTGAAGTGAGACTTGCCTTGCCTTTCTCTTTAGGTGGTTCTCATTATCAAGACATGATTAGAAAAGCCTTGTGCAAAGGATTATTTTTAAGTGTGTCTACTGTACATTTTGTGCATTCATAAAGTATACGTGAGCTGTGCATCAATGTGTTACCATTAGTTTAAACTTCAGGTATTGTTCCTGTGCTCAGCAGGCATATCCTACAACTGAGCCTATGAATTCTATCTGTGGAAATTTGCATACTTGCATTCATTTCTTCCTATTTCAGTGGGCATGATCCAACTAATGTTATGCATTTAAAATGCTATTAATTTCAAATGGAAGGTTAAGCAAGTGCTTAAATCTTTTCCTTAAATTAAATCACTGGTTGGATTATGCAAGATATACATAATTAGAGCAGAACTTGATACTTTAGGTTTAGAATTCAGTGACATATTTTAAATAGAGCATGGTTTAATGTTATAACTGATCTAATAAAACGTAATGTCTGGTTTAAATATTACTGCAGACACCCCTGATGTAATATGCCAACAGCATGGAACTACTCCATTCTTTCTTATAAACTGTTATATAGAGAATCTGTGTTCTTAGCAGATTACGGAACTTTTGAAAATAAAGGTTTTAAGATATAGTTTACACACACACACACACACACACACACACACTGTAAGCTTGGGAATCTGTGTTCATAATGCTAGTATCATAATAAGATTAATTCTGAATCAAAACATAGTGATCATGTTGCCTTGATGATTGTTAAATTGTAGGTTCTAAATGAAATGAAACAGTTTATATGGAAATAATTTATTATAGCTTTAGTGTACTCACAACATAAAATCTGTATGGCTTTTACTGTGAAGATTTAAATCCATCCTGTTTTGCTGGTGAGTGCATTAAGCCATCCCATTTTATTATTTATGTCAAAGATTAAGAAAAAAATTGTCACTGTTCTTCGTGTACCTGCATTTCTAAGAAAGAGAACCATATAGTTGTATAGTGACTCCCATTTTTATACAGATCTTTTTTGTAGCCATAGTTCAGGTTCTATTTTTAAAAAATAGAAGAAGTGGTCTTGGTCATAAGAGTGTACTATTGGTTTCATTATGGATATGAAGTCTCCAGTACATATAAATTACCTCTACTAATCTAAACAGGTGCACCAAATTAATTTTGACAAGGTAAAATAGAAATGAAAATGAATATAGCTTAGTAGTATGTGATTAAACAAAATGTAGCCTTTCATTACATCGCAGCAGCCTGATTTAATGCAGTCATAAAAAATTAGTATGAAATAACAACACTCCCAACTGAGGTCTCTAAACTTTCCTGGAAGAAGTATATTCTGCAATTTAATAACAAGCAAGGAACTAAAAAACAATTTGCTGATTTTACTACCTAGATTTCACAATTTTTTTCCTACAAAGGATAAAGTTGCTTTAATTAGGCTACAAGTATTTCCTCATCTTTTCTGTTTTTCTTCCCAACATTCTTTACTCTTGATCAGTGGGAATATGATGATACTACTGAACATGTGAGTAAAACTGACTGGCCAAACAAAAAAGTGTGGTGGCTTTTGCTTTTCTGCATTAACCTTTACTTTTGGTTGTTTGCACATATGCATGAATTAACACGCTTTTTCATCACTTATGGCGTTTTTTCTGCCTTCTTACTCTTTTCTTGTGATTTTGCACAGTGTTGAATTTTCTTAAGTGTGTTAAATTCGCATAATAGTCCTTTCAATGGCTGGCACTAATTTTATATCATAGTGTATTTGAATATACTTTTTTAAAGTGCACAAATCATTTATCATTTCCATTAGCTTCATGACTCTGTACCCTTCAAATTCCAGTGTACTTGCTGTAAAACCAATGATCTCTTTTAGATGCTAACATAGTCCCCATTTCTGTTAAATGAGACACTATATTAAATGTATATTTGTGAAAATATACATTGAATGCTAGTGGCATTCAAACAGCTTTGTTACAGACAAGACTTTCACTTCCATCATCATCAGTTAAGATTCATCATTACTACTGGAAAAGCTGCTTCTTAATTTATACTTCTCTCCTTGCCCCTTCTGTAACCTTATTTGGAAATTAAGGGTGGACCATTTACATTCCTATTTCCACCCTCCACCCAATGAAACTGTCAGTCAGTCAACTCATGGTGAATTTCCACATAGGTCATATTCAGGTGGATGCTGCAGTAGCTGTTCAGATCTTGATCTGTGTTTAATTTTTGAAAGATGGCATTTCTTTTAAAAGATAATTTGATCAGGAAAATGTTTTGTGAATATAATACCACAGGATTTAAATACAAATGTTCAATGGGATTGATAAAAGACCTTTGGGTTTTTTCAAATATATCACTGAAGGCATTTTTCTCCTCAGCTAGCATCATGTGCTGTTATCTTACAGGATGGTTGTACTCATAGGTCAGATTCTGCTTTCATGCTAGCATTTTTCCTATATCTGGAACAACATATTTCTAAACCCAGTCCTTAACTTTTACACTGAGGGTTAATATAAGGCCCAGCACGTTTCACATATGCAACACAGCTGGCTGTTAGGGAAAGAGACCCTTGCGCACTTCCCATATTTTCCCTTTGGTTATCCTTCCCTTATGCATGGGTAACGTCTGCCGTGATTTTTTTAATGGACAGCTGAATGGGAGATATGGCCTCCCATTGGCTCCAGAGCTAATGATGCTATCTATGGACAATGTTTCCCATTGCCATTGAAATTGTTCAAAATGCCTGTTCAAAGGAGAAAGGGTAAAAGCAAAGCTCTATTGAGAGCTATGGCAGTTTTCACATAGGATGTTCTGAGTGCATCAGGTCATGTGTTCAACACCAGCTGTATGTACATTACTATTATGTTACTTTTATACCTTGCAGTTCTTCCTCTTGCAGGGAACCCAAGGCAACTTACAAGGTTCTCCTCCTTTTCCTTTTATCCTCATAGCAACAATCCTGAGAAGTAGGTTAGGCTGAGTGTCACCAGTGGGACTAGCTCCCAGATCTCCCAAACCTCAGTCCAGCACTCTAACAGTGATTGATGTAACACTGAGTGTAGTTAAAAACAAATACAGTTGCAAATGTTGCCATTCTTCTTGCCAGCCCTCTACCCCACAGCCGCACAAAACTAGTGCAGCCCAAATGGAACTGAACCTTTGTTGCATATTCAAATTGGAGCATGCTATATAAATTATAATGTATATAAACTATAATTTTGCGACATGATCCAGCCAGAGTTAAGGTTTTTGTGTGTCATTGGAAGTATGTTTATATTGATCACTCACTTAATTCTTAACTCTTTGTTGAGATAACTGGGACTTAAAAGGTACTTAATTTTGGCTAGATCATGCTCTTGATATCTGCTCTGTAAATTAAACATAATTAGTTTGCACTTCTGTTCACTTTATTTTCTCATTACTTTCATCAGTGATTATCAGTTTGATTCTCTCTCATGTATAACTAGTTTTAAACATGCATTGATCTTCACCCCATCTTTTAATTGTGTGTGTGTGTGTGTTAGGTTGCAATTTTATATCCGCTTAGTTAGGAATAAGTTCCACTGCACATGAAAAGTCTTTCTGCAAAGAAAATGTGTAAAGGAACAAATGCTTTTTGCAGCTTCCCTTGTTCCCAACAGTTCAAATTATGTTTAATGACTCTTTTAGATGTCAAATAACTCATTACTCAAATACTGAAAATCACTGTACAGAGATTCAATAAAACTGTTTCTTTTCAATTATTAAATGCAAGTCATTCTGAAATGCAATATTGTGCATGTTAAGAATATCCCTTCCCATCTTAGTGCCATCCAGATACTTTAGACTACAGTTCCCATCAACCTTAAGCACTGAACACATTGGTGGGGCTTATGGAAGAAATCAGGTTGGGGGAAACACGTTTAGAAGCTGGAACATGATTGCTATTCTCAGGGCTAAAGCTAGTATTTTCATTGTTCTTTTAATAATGGTTGGTAAATACCTGGGTGAAACTACTTCTGAATTTTTTTCTGTAGCTGGTCTCATTCTATGATACTGATGTTATGTCACAGGAAGCACATTTTAGAGAGGTGTGTTAGTATGTTTCTCCCTTTGAATACAGTTTACTCCGTGTTTGGCTTTATGCTTGATAAAACCATCTTGGGCATGCTGCTCAGAAATGCTTATTTCTTTGATGCAAAATCTCACACATCAGGTTCTACTCCTGGTATTCCCAAAAGCTTGCTTTCACTGCAAGTGGCACAGAACCTATATGCACTGAATGCAGTTATGTCTCAGCCAACTACGTGATGGAACTTTTTTTTGGATGTTGTAGTACATTTATTTTAATATGCATTCTGGGGTTTTTTTTATCACTTCATTTTAGGAAATGACCATAGCTGGATTGCAGCCTGAAACAACATACTCTCTCACTGTGACAGCCTATACAACCAAAGGGGATGGAGCACGGAGCAAGCCCAGACTAGTGTCTACTACTGGCGCAGGTTAATATTTGGAATATTTCCTTTATCATGAAGCCTTTAAAATAACATTGTGTGCTTTTTTCCTGAATTTAGATTCCAATTGCTTCTGTAGGTGGTTACAGAAATCCAAAATCTTGCTTTTTCAGTGCGATTTATGTATGCCTACCTTTTTCAGAATGGGTTGGGTCTAAAGAGCTCTCAAGACTTGTACATCTCTTGCCTTTCGTCCACTTCGTCCTGCAAAACCCCATGCAAGAGTGTTGCAAATCTCTTTGCAAAGGCCCCCAAAGTTGAAAAGGGCTTTTTAATGGAGGTTGCTGGTCAAGAAATACTATCCCTCTTGGCCACATGGAACTAAAAATACAGATATTTGAATCCCACCTTAAATATATAACACATATGGAATATTAAGGAAGCAGTGAAAGCAATTAGGCTAATTGTTAACCTACCCTCTAATGTTAAGCCTAGTTATTGCAACCTTCTACTGATACTTGAGACTTCATCTCACATCTCTTTTGCCAGACACTAAACAAGGATTAAGACTGTAGTTGGATGAATGGATGCGAAAGAGAAGGCAGGAGCTGAATATTTGTGCAGGAAAACAGTCTCCAGATTTTTTTTTAATGATAATGTTTAGGTTCATAGCCCTTGTGTCCTAGAAGTGATCAATCATTCCTCCCTTAGAAGAAACCCCCATCTCTGAGGCTTCTGTGAATCCATTACAATGTCAAATTGCTTCCAGCAAAGCAGAAGGAATGATGGAAGTGATTTTGGCCTGCTCTATCCTGCTTTGAAATGGACCTTCATGCCTTTGAGCTCACCTAGAGGGGGCACATTGGCAGCGGCTGGGTATAGGGCTGGAAAGGACCCAGGATTTCTGATTTCCTGGCCTCGTCTTTCCCCATCTGCCCACAGGAACACCCTCTTCCCTGTAATGCTACATCTGTAACCTCAGGAAACAGCTGGAGTGGGTCTTTCCATGGTGGGGTGGGGAAAAGATCGAAATGCAGAATCCCCCTCCCAGGGCCCCTAAGTTTGCTCTCTTCTTTAATTGAAATGGTTCTATCCTGTGTTTTCCAAAATGTGAGATATTACCCTCTTTTTAATAGTTAGAATTCAGTTACTGTGCTCTTGAATAGCACTCATTAATTCAAATGGTATTTTTGCAAGAGAGCTTCTGACCTGATTAGTTGTGACCTACTGCTGAATCCTAGCTATTATTATGGATGGGATATTGGACAAAATAATGTAATGCTCTTATACAATCTTTTTATTTTAGCAAATGATTTAGCATGCATATAGTTTTCTCCAGTTTGTTATTCTGTGACAGAAATAATACTCTTACCTCCCCCCACCTCCCTCCCTCTCTCCATCCCTCCCTGTCTCTCTACCTCAAATAGGCACAATTGATCAAGGTTCCTTTCTTTTTTTGGTTCTTCTTTTTCTTTTTTCTTTTTGTGGTTTCATTTTTTAATAGTTCTAAACACGAGGGCCACCACAAGAATAAAAGCAATTTACGGCATAAATAATGTAGTGACAGCTTCCAGCAGCCTCTCCTCCTTGAAATCTGAAGGAGTTATTATTCTATTTATGTGGACTCTCCTGCTTTTGCTTATGCTCCATTGGTTTCAATGATAGTTATAATACAATGAAAAATATGGCCTGAAGTACACATCTGTAGTCTTTTCTTAGCACTGTGGCTTACTCCTTTTATGCAGCAGTAGGGAAAAGTCAGAACTAATCAGGTAATAATACTTCATACATTGGAAAATAAAGAGGAAACGTATAAAATGCACAGGATGCTGTTTGCACAAGAATAAGGCATTAGCAATGGGGAGCAGGTGGGAAATAGCCATAAGACATAGAATTTATGTATCGTTGGCAGTAAAGGCTAGGATTCATGGTTGTCCCTGAATTTTTCAAAAGTAATCCTTTCCTCTTTTTGCCTATTCAAGTCTTCCCATGTTTATGGAATTGTGGCCAAAAGACTTTCACCTATGTACAAAAGAGCAGTATCAGTGGACTTGGGTTAACTCGAAGACTTTCAGATACTTCAAAAATCTCTAAGGAGGAAAAAAAAGTCCTAAGGAAGAGGCCTCACCTCTGCAAACCATTTCCATAAAAACTCCATAGCACAGAAAGTTCTTTGTCTGAAAGTGGAGGAAATGGCAACCTTATGCGTGTGGAGGTGCTGGTAGAATAAAATAGAGTAGCTTTCTGGGTGGTGTACTTTGGTTCTTGGGATTTTCTTTCAGTATGTTTAGTGCTATGACAAATGTTTTTTGAATGAGTTAGCACCTTTCACAGGAGCTATTTTGTGCTCTTAAATGTGTCTGCTGGTTGAAAAAACTTAAGGAACCTGATATAAAAACACATGCACACACACCAAGACAATTTTAATTATAATCAGCCTTTTTCTCTATGCTTAATCTATATGGAATTGTATCTGGCACAAACACTAATGTTAATTATGTTGTGCTAACATAAGCCACCTCTAGCTTGATCTCTATAGCATTTATTGGCACAACATGTCTATAGGTTCAGGTAGTTCTTTTTTTTTTAATGATGAAGATGCTTTCATAAATGCAATTAAGTTCCTCTTGCAAGTTAAAGTAACCCAGTTTAGCAAAAGCTTTACCACTTGATTCTAATGTACATGCACGGACACACGTGTGCTTGTACACATATGCCCACACAAGTTCTTGCCTCTTGTCAATGGCTTGAGAAGCTTGTACAGTTGTCTAGTTTGTCATCGCATCTTTGCCCAGTATACTACAATTTATCAGACTGGGAACAGATTGTGTGCCTACCTGCTTGCCTCTTCCCTGTCCCTCTCCCCTCAACCTTTGGTTACGTTATCTTGGTTGCTTAAACCATTGTTTTCCATGATACCCAAACCAGGAAACTGTGGTTTGAAAGCTCTCTCCACCCTAACGCTAACCCTAGCCATAGTTTATTAGACTGGAAATGTAGCATATGAAATGGAGATATGTGAAAAATTGCCATGCATATGTAGGAACCTTCCTTGTACAGAGTCTGGCCTGTGGTTTCTCTGGCTCAATACACTCTACCTCCATGGGCAACAGTTCCTTTGACCTACCTAGAGATACCAGTAATTCAACCTGGGACCATATAAAGCATGTACTTTATCATTTTGGCCATATCCGACATGTGAATCCAGTATCAGAAATGTTGTTTCTTAAATGATGAATGCAAACAAACTATTACATTTACACATGTAAGATTATTTGTTGATTGGCTTCAAGCTAACATGGTCTTTGCTTATCTGGGGTGTGTGTGTGTGTTTAGAAAGTAAAGGAGTCATGGAACAGAGAGAACCTGTGCCCAAGTCTTTTGCACTGTCTGAACAAGTAGTTGAGGAATGAGGGAAAAAATGTATGTCTGTCACATTAGGAATTGTTAAAGAATCATACAGTGTAATGTTAGAAAAAAATAACGCAGCTGCATTCTGTGCTAAAATAATATTGTATTGCAGTTCCAGGAAAACCTCGGCTTGTAATTAGCCACACACAAATGAGTACAGCTCTAATTCAGTGGCACCCACCTGTCGACACATATGGCCCTCTGCAGGGGTACCGCCTGAGGTTTGGCCGCAAAGACATGGATGCATTTACAACACGGGATTTTACCGATAAAGATGACCACTACACAGCTACTGATATTCACAAAGGAACTTCTTACATCTTCGGGCTTTCCGCTAGAAATAAAGTAGGCTTTGGGGAGGAGATGGTAAAAGAAATTTCCATTCCAGAAGATCTGCCAAGTGGATTCCCTCAAAACCTACATTCGGAAAGTGCCACCTCAACTTCAGTCCAGCTATCTTGGCAAGCACCCATCTTATCAGAGAGAAATGGTATTATCACCAAGTATACCCTGCAGTACAGGGATATCAATGTGGCACATCACCAAATAGAGGTCCCGGTTGTTCCTGCTGATACAGTTATGACACTTTCGGGCTTAAAACCAGATACCACATATGATGTAAAAATACGTGCACACACAAGCAAAGGGCCTGGTCCATATAGTCCCAGTGTCCAGTTTAGGACATTACCTGTGGATCAAGGTAGGATTTGTCTGCTTATGGCTTGTCTTTTAAAGGAATCTCGGTCTTTGGATGTCGCTATTTTTGAAGCTATAATTAAAATTGACCAAACCATCGTGTAATTGTTTCAACTAACACCAGAGGTAAAGTATGCAAATTTTCATGTGTTTTGGATTCGTTAGCATTCAGTTGTGTCATATCAGACAAGTCTGGCTCTCATCTACATAAAAATCACAGGTAAGAAAACTGTAACATCTGGAGTGGTCATTTGTAAGAATGGCATTTTGTTTCTAAAAGCAGGTAGGGGGATTGTTGGATATATGTATGGTGGAAGTGGGATGGGATCCAAAGGTAAAAATATACGTTAAATACATTGCTTTTCCTTTTCCAGCAGTGTTTGCAAAAAATTTTCATGTCAAAGCAGTGATGAAGACATCAGTATTACTCTCTTGGGAGATACCAGAGAATTACAACTCGGCTTTGCCTTTCAAAGTAAGTTATTTTGTAATTTGAAAGACTTGAGGGGTAAAACTCCTGATGGAAGACTGTTCTGATGATATCGTTTTCCGGCCAGACTTTTTTTTTTAAGAAGCTTATATAGAAATTCTAAAACTTGCTGTTTAGTTAGGTTTTCTGACAGTGTGAAATTTCCACTTAATATAAGCATGGTGACAGCCGTCCAGACTTTTGACTGATCTTAGATATTGCTGATGATATCAGCCTTTCTTCCCTTACAACTCGGTGCCAGTTGCATTAGAGTAATAAGTATAACAAAAATAAGAATTCTCTTCTTTTTTTCTGGTCTTTAAATTGTTTTAAATAACAGGCTGTGTTTCATTCACTGTTGTAACTAAATAAAAGCATGGATTAACATTTATTTGGGGGATATTTTGAAAGACAGACGCTCTTTTTCAATATCCCTAAATTATTTTCCAGTTTTGTTTCTTTTGTTGCTCTCTTAAAGAAACTGAAGATGGAGAAACTATATCTTTTTTCCCTTCATTTCTGCACTTTAGAATCAAGGTGCATTTAGGCAGTGTTGGAAAAGTCACCAGAAGATTATTTTTTCCTGGACATCCTCCTGTGACAAAACAGTCATTATACATGCTATATTAAATAGCATCCTGAGAAGAAATTTAATTTAACCTATCTTGTTACTTTATTTTTATTAAGTTCAGTTTCCCAAGTGGGAATCGGATGGGGCAGCAGTGCTTTACATCTGTCAGACAGCAGTTCCATATGCCCCCAGAAAGCTCTGTATTGAGAATGGAAATACAGGTGATGGTAGAAGCTAGTTTCAGACTGTCTGGGGGCATGTGAAGGTCATGGATTCCCTGGATCCAAAGTCCCCATGCTTCTTCAGCACAGCTGAGGTAAAGCTCCTTAAATATGCCAGCCTGAAGCTGCTGTAGGCTTTTCCCTTCCCATTGTAACTAGCAGTATGTTGGGGTAGGGGTAGAGGCAGAGGCAGTGGAGAACCAGAAGACTCACTTAGGAGAAGAAAAATCTATCATCCTCTTGCTTTCCTTGGTGTTTGCCAGTGAAGCTTTGGAAATACCACGTGAGGTTCTACAGGCAGCTGATTGGCCACTGTGTGAACAGATGGACATTTGGTCAAGATGGACTTTTGGCTCTTCCTATTTTCTTACACTACTGCAAAACTCTCATCCTCTTAGGATTGCTCTGTAGGTTTGTACATTGCCATTATATGCTATGCAGTACAATCCTAAGACTCTACTCAGAACTATATCCAGTTTAGTTCAAGGGTCTTACTGCCAGGTAAACCTGCATATAATTTAAACTAAACTTTTGAACTAAAATTCTCCATAACATTTTTACTTTAAAAACACATGTATTGTTCCCAGTATTTTTCTATTGTGATAACAGCAGCAAATAAATTCCAAATTTTTATGCAATTATTTTATTCAACTGATTTTTCACAAAATCCTTAAAGCACTATCCTTAAATAAAGTTCATATCTAAATAAGGTTATCTGTTAGTGTTATAGTATTTTCCTATGTTGTTCCTATAGATTGACATTTGTGTTATTTAATCAATTACTGCATAGCAGGCTTCCCAGTGAAATATCCTTAAAGACAGACACAGAGTAATGCAATTCCGAATACCTTAAACTGAGTGTTTCATACATTCCTTTAACCATAACTGAGATATAATATTCAAAATATACTATATTAACTTTTTGAATCTTATCTTTTGAATTGGAATATAAAAATACCTGCATCCTTTACTACATCTAGTCACTGATCATTTGAAGATTTCAGCTGTGCGGGGGAAAGCTCACTTTTTCAATCTTCAGTTCACATCAATGACCTAAAATTTATGTACTAGGAATTACTCCCTCTAATTCAGGGAATGCAACAGAACAAACCAACGAAGTTTAAATGATAACTATATCGTGGATAAGCAAATGTCCATTCTTGCTTCCTTCTCACTATAAAATAAGCAATTCTCTTTCTTCAGATGGATTTCTTGAGCATGGTGTAGCATCTTCCTTTGGCCAGGTGCTTTATGTGGTAACAGAGGGACTTAGCTGGATCAAAATCCTTTCCTGGGTTATTCTGGTGGTGTCAAGGTGTACCCTCCTTTCTCTTGCACTCCTTGCATCTTCAGTTGGTCTCATCCAGATCCAGCTTGGGCCCAGGACATTCTTATCACAGTGTTGTTCAATAGGAAAAAATACTTAAACATATACAATAATAAGACAGTAATGTCAGACATGGAACAGGAGCGTTAGTACTCTTACGCAAATGTCAAGAATTTAGTATTGTTGAGTACCACTTTAACTTGGTCACTAGAGTAGCCATATTCAGTAGTCAAAAATTTTCAAGTAAATAGTGAAAGAATATGCTGCAAAGTTGGATATGTTGAATATGCTGCAGAATAATAGCACATGCATGAGGACATCAATCTGTGATGAGAAAGAAGATGAATAGAATATTCCATGTTCCTGAATATTGCTGGACCAGAATCAGAGCATGTAACTAATTGGGCTAAGCCAGGTGAAGAGGGCAAACTGTGGCACAGCTGAGCAGAAGTTTTGAACAGGTGTGTATTTCAAAGAAAAGTAAAATATCTGATTCAGAAAGATTCCACAAGAGGATTCAAACTGAAGATGCATTATTTGAGAGTTTTAATAGAACTCTCAAATAATAGAACAGATGATGATCCTGAACAGTTTAATAGAACAGATGATGATCCTGAACTGCAATGATGGATGGTGATTTTGATTGGAACTAGAAATTCAAAGATGGAAAAAGAGAAGGTTGTCAGCATATTGCAGCATAAATGTTAAATTATGCCAGTATAAAAATCATAATCAATATGAACTGATTTCAAAAGGAAATAATTTTCAGAGTATAGAACACTTAAGGCTAACGATACCACATGGGATAGCAGAAGGTAACAGTATTGGTACAGAATGAAATAAGAAAGGCATAGAATGTTATTGCTATATTAATTAGATAAATACCAGCTTCCTTATTCTCCATATATGCCCAGATCAGGCAATTAATTATTAATTGAATATGGACTTCTAAAAAATATGCTGAATATGTGTAGTTAATACCAGCTAAACAAATGTATGGCTTATTTATGAAATAAAAGTTTATAAGTTACTAATGGAACAAAGCCAACAGTTCAATATATATAAAAACAAAAAATAAAAAGATGTGAATCAAGTGATTTCAGCAAAGTTCTGGAAATGAATCTGGGAAAACATTCGCTTGGAAACCCTACATTTAAACCTAAGTCACAGTTTTTAGAAACTGTGTTTCAGTTGTTATCTAACTCCTGAAACATTGATTTTGCAATCCTGGATGTGTCCACTCAAACCTAAGTCCTAAGGAGTTCAGTGAGGCTTCCACTTAGGTAAACACACAGCAATTCCGGTGCTAAATTCCAAAATAAACAGCAAATAATGGTGCTAAATAGATTAGCTGAATTTTGGGAAATCCCACTAGATGGACAGAATTCATGCTTCAGGAGATACTGCTTTTCCAGGCTACTTTTTGCATTAGGATCAGCATAAGAGTTAGTGGGTAGTGGCTAAGAGCACAGTGCCACTCAGTCATGGAACTCACTAGCTGAATTCACTGGTGAATTTTGGCTGTTCACAGACTCACAGGCCAACCTGCCTCACAGGGTTGTTGCTACAAGGATAAGATTGAGAGGAAGAGAATTATGTAAGCCACATTGCGTTCCTTGAAAGGAAAAAAGGCAGGATATAGATACAATGCATAAATAAGGAAGTGCGATAGCTCTTTGAAGGTACCGTCAGAGTCAAGGTAAACAAATAGACATGCTTTAATAGATGAAGAAAACTAATGATTTCATTAGAATGACACTACAGAAAAACATGCGTACTGTGACAGTATGCAAGAGAGGAGGTCTCAAGACATTGCACCCATCTGACCGTCTCCCAGAAATTTATACATGTCACAAAGCGTAAGAACAAAGCATAAAGTTACTCATTTTACCTCATTTTTATAAACAAACCTTGCCACAAACAGCAACATTTTATAATAAAAGTAACATTTTACTTATCATAGGAGTTGAGACTACAAGCATATGGGCAAATGCAAAGCTTCCGGTCTCTGTTCTCTGCTCTCTGCTTCTTCTACACGGTGACAAGGCTCACATCATCCTGACCTAAGGCCTTTCCTTACACTGATTCCTAACAGTACCAGCTATGTACTGATGATCTCCTATGGGGCAAAATGACCAATAGCTACCAACAACTCTGCAAATGACCGGAATTTTAAATCTAAAAATAAATACACACAAATGCATATCTCAAGTGCAATAAATTATAAACTTGGATTAACACCAAAAATAATTATTAGATATTAGCAGTGTACGGGTTGTCTCAAATACACCACTGAAATGGAACAGACTAGAAATACAATACTAAACAGATAAATTTATGCTTGAAAAAAGTGAACACTGTGGAAAGCAAATGGATCAGCAAATATCCCTACTGTTGCTGCAGAAAGGTAATTGGAATAATGCTGTTCCAAAATTACAATGATTATTGAAAGCTAGCACTTTTTGTTTGTATAGCCATCAGACCAGTGCCTTGCCAGCAGGCACAAAGAAGAAATGCAGCTACGGCTACAAAAAGCTTAATTTGGCTATGTAAACCAGCCATTGCCCCAAGCAATCACAAGTCTGGTATCAGTTACTTAAGTCAATTGGCAGATGTTATTCCCAGGATCCAGAAAATGTTTCTGGTTTCTTGATTTTAAGCCAGGAAAGGACCAGTAGTTATGATATAATATTATTTCTATTGGGCTAATCTGTGTTCAGGTAAAAGGGAATACCATTGGACTAGTGGCAAAGACATTTTTTAAGATTATGTATTCTTACTGTGTATACTAAGAATGCTGATACAAATATGTTCTTACTATACTTCACTATTTAAGCTTATGAAAATTCACCTGCTCCAAAATATTTCCACCTTGGGTCTTCAGGGGTTGCTTTAGTTGCACCTACCAAATGTGATAGTATAATCTGAAAACGTTGACCCAGTATGAGGACTATTGATGGAATGAAGAGTATCCAAGCTCAACATCCTGTGTTAATGGAAATGACTCAGGAAAAGGAATTGTATGGATATGAAGAACAAGACAAAAATAAGCAAGAAAGTTCTAGCCATTGAAGCCTGCTTACAGAATTCAGGGCACAGAAGGCAGAAGTAACTGCAATCATCCCATGTTTATATTGAACAATGAGGATGCCTGGATGTCACATTTGTGATGCCAGAAATGCCATCCAAAAAGGCAAGGGGTTCCAAAAAGGCAAGGGGAAACAGATTTCAGAAGAAAGTGTGCATTAACTGTAAAATTTAAGAGAGGAGTCCTGAATTCTTCTGGAAGAGAGTGCAGCATAAGATGTAAAAAAATACCTAAAACTATTTCTAGGTATACATGTATGATTTTTAAAAATACAATGTGAATTGTAAGTTTAAAGGATAAAAACTGGGAAGGTGAGCTGTCATTGTAAGAAAATCAGTGTTACAATACAGACTGGATCTCATCCATCCTAGTCGGTAGAGACACTGGCACAGGCAAGATTGGTTTACAGCTATCTTGTCCTGAAAACCAGATTAATTTAAGGCTGCCTTCAGTTTAAGCAATCAAAGTTCAGCACAATATACTGTGAGTCTGTGTCATCTTTTCCTAAATGGTGAGTCACTGCAGCTTTTTCTTGCTTCTCTTTCTAGCCATCCTTTTTTTTCCCTGTGTGACACCAGCCACTACACTTTGCATTTCCCCCTAGACTACATTCCCCCATTCAACCGAGCAAATAGTTCACCTTTTCCCAATGTGATCCAGTCCATAGGCCACCCCATTTCCCCTCCTCTTTGCTCACATGAACAATCACCCTACTTCCTGCCTTTTGCTTTGTTTCCTTGCTTTTTTCCGCTTTCCCTTACATGCCCATGCCTCCTAATGAGGAAGGACCATTTCCCACTGGAAGAGTACTTGTTTTGCATATAAATGATCCCTAATACCTCTGAAAATGCCTGGAAAATTTTCTGTCTTGAAACCACAGAAAGTTGCTGCCAGCGAATATGGGCCATACTGAGCCAGGTGGATCAATGGCCTGATAGACCACAAGACAGGTTTCTCTATGTTCCCATTTGCCATTCTTCGGAAAGAGTGGCTTCTTCTGCGGGAGAGGAATGAAACTCTATTGTCTGGGTGTCATTCAGGACAATTTTGGACTGACATCTGAACTTTTTTCCAGGAATTTAAAGAACAAAGTCAAATTCAAGAAACATACTAAATTAGGGCTGTCATTTTTGTAAAGTAACCAGTCACTGCATATGTATGGCATATATCCCAAAGGAAGCATTGTTAAGGAATGTAAATATGAACTGATACATACACGCATTTGTTTGTTTGTTTTCTGTGCCGGCATTATATTCCAAAGTATCTCAAGACCATTTACAAAAATGGTTACCTGTATGGACAAAAGGCTATTTGAGAATGCCTGTAGTACGTTTCCTTGTTGGGAGATTTGGGAAGTAACTGATATAACATCCACTGATGATTAATCAGAATAGTAGGCGCAAAGGAAAGGAAATTATAGACTTATTAGCTGCCCTTATGAATTTGAGGTACGCATTTTTATAAGCAGATTCATTAGTCATATAAAGAATAAGCCTTTCTTAGACAGCTTGGCTTCTATCATATGTAAATTCTGCCTCATTGTAAAACCAACTGGAAGATCATCCCTGAACATTTTCTCAGGGGTACTCTTTATTATGGATGGCGTATCTACTTCTCTTCGAGCACAGCACTGTATGTGATCAAGCTTGGAGTTAACTCTCCTGGCGGCCTGCTTCTGCTGGTTAAATATAGCTTCTACATATTCTCAGTAGGTTCCCAGCTTGTTGTGAGGCATTTGAGTTCTCCATTGTCTGGGATTGACATGGCATCCTATCCTAAGCCTTTGCTTTTCTACCAGATTTCATGAATTGATTGACAGTTTCAGCAGGTTTATCTGAGACAAACAACAATCCCTAAGTGCTCATTATTAAGAAAATGGATATGTTTCACAGTGGAGAGAAGTAATCAGTGGTGTTTCTCAGGTATCTGCAGTAGGACTTCCATTATCTAACTTATCGTGAATTATCTACAGTCAGGGATAATAATGACACAGTCAAACTTGCAGTGGTCCCAAAATTATTAAGGGTGGTGAAAGCCCAAGCAGATTCTGAAGCATTTCAAAACAATCTCTCCAAAGTGGATAAACGGCAGTTTTTTGGCAATATATTGGCAATTTTTTTTTCTCCCTCTGACTAACATTCAGGGTTACCAAATGAAATTGAATGGTAAATTCAGCACATACAAATAAAATATTTATTCATAAATTGCAGGATTAGATTTTACAATCTTTTTCTACAAGATCTTACAGCACTGATACTTATTTATTAGATTTATATTTTGCTTTTTTTCTTTATGAACGCAAAGTAGCTGACATGATTCTCCTCCTCCTGTTCTGAATCTTAACCCATAGGAGCAACCCTGTGAGGTCGGATGTGCTGAAGTCTGTGGCTGACCCAAAGTCACCCAGGTGGCTCCATGGCCTCGACTACAACCCAGGTCACCTGGGTCCCAGGCCTGTGCTCTTAACCACCACACCACGCTGGTTCTTCTCATACTGATAGCCACTGGGCTTGATGTTTAAAAAGAATTTGGCGAAATTCATTGTCATTATCCACAATAGCAAAATGAAATCACCATTCCAGGGATCTTATGTAAGGAATTAATACTGTCTTCATACTCTCCTTGTGGACTTCCCAACGGCCATCTGCTGACTGTCATGGGAAACAGCATGTTGGCCTAGGTGGACCCTGAAACTGATCCAATGAGGACTTTTAATGTTTTTTAAATTCACTTACTTATCAATAATTATTCATAAACTAATGCAGAGGTATACATTTTCAGTTAAATTACACCCATACTAGATAAATGCTCTATGAGATAATAGATGGCATTGCTTTTTTCTTAATTATTAATATTATGCTACAAAAAATCCCCACTTTTTAGATCCTGTATGATGATGGGAAAATGGCAGTTGAAGTGGATGGCCGAGCTACTCAGAAGCTTATCACCAACCTGAAGCCTGAGACATCATATTCGTTTGTGCTAACCAATAGAGGAAATAGTGCGGGAGGTCTTCAGCACAGGGTGACAGCAAAGACAGCACCGGATGTTCTGCGCACCCAGCCACTCTTCATTGACAAGACCAATCTCGATGGAATGATAACAGTGAAACTACCAGAAGTACCTGCAAATAAAACTATAAAGTAAGTCAAAATTGATTTGGCAACCATTTAAGAACCTTTCAGGTGTACCTTTATGTTTAAAGACTGACTTTCGTAGTTTCAGCCTTTGATATATGCATCAGTTAACAGGCAAGCATTTAATGATAAATCATCAGAATTGTTAGTTTTTTATTTTTATTTATTTATTAAAACATTTTTATGCCGCCCCATTCGCCGAAGCCTCGGGGCGGCTTACAACAAGTTTCTTCATTAATTATTTGTACTTCAAATTTATATTCTGCCCTTTTTCTGTAAGGCAATCCAAGATGGTTTTTGTCATGGGACTCCACTGTATTTGCTAAAGAGGATGAAGCCTTCTCCCTGTTTAAATCTGGAGGTCCTTACAAACTAAAGTACTTGCCACAAAAAAAACTAACCTGAAAGCTTTATATCTTTCTTGCAATTGGTTAATACTATTAAGAGGTAATAATAAAGGATTATTGTAATCTAATACTCTTTATACACTTTGGCATTCCTTCCCTGCCTGATTGGTTAACAGTTTTAATTACAGATGTGATTAAACTTTTAATTAAACTTAATTTTTTGGCTTACAACAAGAAGAATATTTACATTGTTGTTTTGGAACACAGTACATAGTTGCTTTGGAACACAAGGGCATCAGCAAGCATACTTGAAATTCTTTTCTTATCTGTGGGTCACTGTGACCACCTACATTTTCTTTTTCGAAACTCAAATCCTCTTGTTAACCTTTTCCTCAACATTTGCATGAGCTTCCTATGTGGTTTCCCATCCTGGCACTGACCAGTTTCAAACCTGCTTGCTTTCTGCAAGATCATCTGCTTTTACATTAATGCCTTTCTGTGAGGGAGAGGAGTTTTTCTCTATTATTCAATTCCCCTTTCCCTACAAAGAATCATAGTAGGCAGCTACCTCAGTTGCTAGGATCAGTTAGCACAAGCTAATCCTAGTCTAAAGAACTTCTTATTTATTTAGACATATATCGCCACCTCATAAAGATAAAATGCTAATATACAGTATTATGTACAGTATTATGGGGCGGGGGGAGGCTTTGAAGCCCTGGTGACAAGAACCACTCTCTTTACCTGCATAATGTAAATTATTCTCAAGAAATAACCTTTAGTTTTACTTTCCCAAAGGTCAGATAGGATGCTAACTCCTACAGAATCTTACAGAACACAAGGGGCAGCTTAATAAACATGCAGTTTAACACATGGAGGTGATTTTAGCAGAGATGGTTGGTAATGCTGTCAGTGTGACTTCTCATCCATTGCAGCTTTTCCTTTGAGCTTTATAGGAGCTTGAAAGGATCCGTGGTCTTGACATCCTTTACCAAAACAGGTTCACCACAATGGAGCTTCTGTGAAGCTGAAAAGAAAAACTGCAATGTATAAGAAGCTTCACTAATATAGAAGTCCACAGCCTTTCTTGGATTTTAGTGAGAAATTCTGGAAAAATTTCCTTTAAATAAATGAAGTGAATTGTTAACATGACAAAAATACTTCACTTGGGGCTGAGTAGGCAACCCAAACAAAAAGGACAGACAGAAAATTGTCCACTGGCTTTAAAACAACAGTATTAAAGTCAGTCTGATGTATCTACCTCATTTCACTTGCTTTATTAGAGAAAGTTGCTTTGGTTTCAGTGCAAGTGCAGAGGTACTTGCAGAAAAAGAAAATAGTCCATAATAGCATTCGGGCAGAACATTTCGGTTCACCTGATCTGCATGGTTCCAAAAGAGGCAAAGGGATTTTAAAAGTCCTATTTGCAGGACTCAGAGACCCGTGAAAACCAGCTTTCCTTTCTTAGACAGAGTGTAGTGTGAACTAATGTGAAACTAATGTGTAACACTCCAGCTCTTGTGTTAGCAATCCAGGTAGCCAATCAATAGTTTATTTAAGTATTTCGTTTTGCTATATTAATGTTTTTGAACTCCCATCATGAAGTAACTAGCTAGTTTAGATCAGCTGGGCTAGTGTAAAAATGTATTGAACCAGGAAAGTGGTTACAGATATTTATTTATTAAGGGATTTTCTGAAGGGATCTAAACTGCCAGACACTTAAATAGAAATGTTGATCTTTATCAACATATACAGCTGTGTTACGCTTTAATTCCCAGATTATCTTCTTACATATCTTTTTTGCAGATGTTAAAAATACGATTCAGTGGAACCTTTTTCTTTCTCAGTGCTGAGAAGCTGCCCCTGCCCAAGTGCAGCAGTCTTGACCCAAATAGGGGCCATCTCCACTCTTTCTTCCACATGGACAAGCCTAACATACATAGTAGAACCATGTGATAAGTTACTACTTAAATGTTTGAATTTGTACACAGAATGTCTCTACTGAATCTTCATGACAGATTTATCAGTTTAAGGCAGGTGTGTGCACTCATAAAAATACTGCTTTTTCTCTTCCATACAGTTGTTCTCTCTAAAGTTGTAAATGGTTTGTTACCACTTGAATTTTCCTTGTTAGAATCATATGTCATTCTACATTTGCTCGAATCAAATTTCACAGCAGATTTTCAACTTCTACAATACCTGTATAAGTAGAATATATCAACACTGAATTTTCCATCAGTAATTGAAAAATCAGCTATGTCAGAGACAATAGGAACAGTAGAAACTGTTAATTTTCTACTTCCTCCTCTTCCAAGTTCTCATCCAACTATCTAAACCAACATTTATGAAATGATGGAGGAAAGGACCAGTCCAACCCTGCCCTTTTCTCAGTGCCCTTGTGTACTTTTTACAAATATTGAAAAAGTAATTTGAATAAGTAAAGTGAAATAGAAATTAAAGCAAGGGCAGAAATTCAGCTGCCTATTGTGAGAAAGGGTTCTAAAACAATTGCACAACTTCATCTATCATTCTCTCGAGATTTAGCATTCTGTTATATGACACACAGAACCTGTCCACATAACAACAGCAGTTCTGCATCCATGAAATAGTGAGGAGCATGAATCCTGCCATGGTAATCAGTGGGACAAGCAGCTTGCTCCTCCCCACTTGCCAAGAGGCAATCTCAATTGGAGCCCAAGAGCAGGATAGTAATATTAAGGTAAGGCATTGCATTGCTATCCTAAATAATAGAAATATCAAAAGAGGGCACATGCATGCTTTCGATTCTTCTTGGCATGAGTCTGCTGTAATGTAGAAAGAGAGGTGAATTTTGTGCTTTCTACCTTAGGAAGATAAATGTTCCAGAAGGCTAAGGAGTGCATTCTCTCTTCATGTGGGAGATATGCAAGCAGTCTTCAGCCCTCTCTCCTGTCCTTCACACACACACATTGCGTGTCACACAAGGACAACAGAGACTGTTGCACTTACCATTAAGGGGCATTGATAACCCAACCACCCACCTTCCCTGGACCTTCATCTGCTAGTGAAGGGATAGTGATAATGTCTGCAATGCCTGTAGGATTCCCTCAAGAGTTGCATCTTATAGGGCTCGGTGGGAAGTTCTTTATGTTTCACAAGGTGTCTGAATTGTTTCAGTCTTTTCTTCCTTCAGTTTGCATCAAAAGAAGGGCTAGACAAATTACATATGTCTTCAAAAGCAGCACTGGGAATATCATGAGGCCAGGCATATTTTTCTGTACATAGCTACATTCTCATTTTAACAGAGACCACCAAAAGGACAGGCAGAGAGAGAGCTGTTGGGCGCAGTGGTTCACCCTTCTGTAATGTAGAAGAACATACATCAGACCTCAGTGTTCTCTCTCGACCATAAAGCTTGGGGTTGGTACAGGTGTTCATCCCCTGATTCACCAAAAGATAGAAAGATCTTGCAAATAGATGTCTGAATTAGGCCTTTTCCAGTTATACATCTCCTGTAATATCCAAAAAGGAGCAAAGTTCTACTGCAGTTATGGATCTTAATAGACTGTGGTTGGCTAAAGCACTGTAAAGCAAAATTATAGGAATTGAGCCAAGTACAGTATGTTTAGCTATTCTGGACTACTACACACACATTCTAATTAATAGGACAGTAGCAGTTGAATATGTCTTCTCTTTCCAAAGTTTTATAATAGACACTGCTTAGAAAGACAATTTGAAATTCCAAATATACCAACTTGTGATTTAATTCTAAAATGTAATTCTGCAATAAATGGATTTGGCAGCTCAGTGTTCTGTTCACAATTCTGGAACATGGTTTACAAGGCTTCTTAAATGGCTTCGTGCAGATTAAACAACAAAGATAGTACTAAAGAGCTGACAGCACAGTGCCAATAGAGATTCAAAACGATGGACAATAAAGAGTTGCCAGGAAAGCATGAAACACAGCACAATCAATAAGTGTTATTGCTCTAGTTGCAATGATTCTTGCTGCCTATAAGACTCCCATGTGTGTGACGAAGGAAATGGGGAGGAAAATGAGTAGGTTGTTAAATATTGTTGGAGATGCAACCTGGCATTTCTCAGGTGAATTTTAGTATCATAGGCTTTTTAAATGGAAGTTCTCCTTTTTATTGCTGATTGAAGAATTCAGGATAGGATGACATGAACAACATTATTCTGGAGCATTAACCGGATGAAAGTGTGAAAAATAAAGCCATTGCCATTTCCAAATTAAAAATGCAGTTTGTAAGAAGTATGGAAAAGGAGGTCTAAGAATGGGAAGCATCAGAAAGATTTATGGAGAAAGGCAATTGCAAAAAAGAGCCAGAGAAAATAAAAGTAGCTAACACTAACAGAGAAGATGATAACGCTTGTCATAAGTAGTGGAAATGTTGGAGGTAAGCTGAATTTATACTGTTGCTCACCAGAGATTAGCCATAATAATAGATCTGGAATATGTGAAGTAATAAATGAAAAATGCCTCTGTGCGTTTGTCAGCAGGGAGTAAACAAATCCTGACAAGAAGTCAAATTTCCAAGAAACCATGTTGTTGTTTAGTAGTCCCAGAGATGTTATGGCTCCATGCTTGAGGCCTAGTACGCTACCATTTCAGGGCCCGAGCAGTGGAAGAGAAGGAGAACACTTGACTAGCTCCTAAGTTCT